GTCATCCAAACTGACAACAATTTTTTGAGAAGAGAATTGTTTCAAAAGATCTAGAAATAAGTTAATTAAAATTGGTCCTTTAAAACCCCTGTACTCTGTTAGACTTCGTAACACAGACACTTTGTAACATGATTAAAAGTAACTGAAATGTACTATATATTTAAAAAAAAACCACATTGTGGTAGTTACCGTATTTTTGAATGGCTGCATCTAATTGTTGTTAGCAACAATTTACATCACTAATTAGGTCACACTGGCATCAGAGGTTAAAAACTAGTCATGAACCTCCTCTTGCCAGGTGCTTTACATGCACGCCAGAGAGGCTAGACGTGGCTCTTAGATCCTTCCCTATGGACTGATCAGTTCAATCACTGATCTCTGAAGGATCTCTCTTTTTAGATTTGAGCTCATGCATACCAGTGACTGGTGACAGCTTACCTGTGGCTGCTGAGGCACTGCTGAAAGGGAAGCTGGGGAAACAGTGGAGTAATCATCCTTAAAACACTAACATTAAGAGAAGATGGCATTTGGGGATTGAGTTTCTTGATCCTTCTTCAGAAAATACTAGTCTTATAAGCACAGTCCTCTAAATTAAGCCCTTTTAAGTTAAAAGACAGATTCAATAGTAAATGCTACCTAAATTACATTTTATGGAGATAAATTAAACTACTGGAAAATACTGTAGGATAGCTTGCCATGTGGGTTGCTTGTTAACACCTTTCTGTGAACAAACACTAATTGGTAGTTTATTAAATAACACCAGTTCTGTGAATATATAGTGGCTTTGCTGCTATATTGTGTGCAGTGTCCTTGTTACTGTGTTGATTTTCTAAATGCTGCTTCTGTGTTAATGTTAGATTTGAGATTAAGGCATCTCTCAGAATGTAATTAAAGATGTATTTCAAGCTTTTGTAGGTGTGGCCAACAGATCTAGACAAGAGAGAAGTCTGAATCTATCTTCATGTATCTCTTGCTTGCTCTTTCATCAGGGACCAAGCACGGCTGAGTTGCTTTAGTTGATGGTCACTGAAGTATGTGATTTCCTGGGCTGCCCTTAATGTTAGAGAAAAAGTAATGGAATTTACTGTTGAGGGATATCTGTCTTGGGGGTATTTTTCTGTGGTTCTTTAAAATGAGCTTCCTGACCTTATTTCCTGAGCACTGTCCAGGCTTCTGAAGAATGATAAACTGGCTAAACATTAGCATTCACAAGATTTCTTGGCTGAGATGCATTAAGAAATAAAATAAAAAACAACTCAGCTGTTAGACATGATAAAAATGTGGAAAATCTTTGGGGAAATAAAATACCTTGTAATAATATTAGAATTCTTGGCTTTACAGGTTCAGTATTTCAATTTCTTAATTAGAAATTCTCATTAAACAAACCACAAAAAATACCTGCAGTTACAGCAAATTACAGATTTACAGCCTCACTAATAACTCAAAGCAGATGGAAAAACTGCAGTATACAGACATTACAGAGCAAGAGATGTTTTTTCCTTAAAGCAGAGACAGATTTTCAGCTCGAGATGCTGTAAGACAGATAGGGTTAGTACATTTCCTTTCTCTTATCTCATCTGTACAAAAATCCATTTCAGGAACAGAAAGTACTACCTCTGTTGATTTTAGCACCATTGGGCTGTTAAAGAGAAAATTATACAATGAAAAAGCAAAAGACAGTACAAAGGATTCTTCTGAGTTCCTATAAGCTAGAACGTTTTGCCTAATAGGATCAGAAAAATTAGTGAATAGTGTGGGTCTCTCCTGTAATTAGAATTCTTGAAAATTAATTTATAGATATGATCAAGTAAGTGATCTTTTTGTCTGTGATTAAAAGATGGATGTTACTGATATAATTTCTGATGGATACATTGTAGGGCCCCAAGCAAGTGAGGCCCAGGATGGTTTATTTTCTCTAGATTTAAAAGGTATTACAAGAACAGACTTGTATTTGTGGGGAGATAGATCAAATAGATAGCCTAATCCCTCTTAACCTGTTTCAATTTGATGATACTTCCCTTGGAATAGATTGGGTCACTGCTGCAACTTCTTGAGTGTTTCCTCATCCCTAGACAACAGTGAGGGGTGCATTCAGTAAGCAGGTATCAACTCCATCTTCTTAAATGACTATGTGCTTACTAATGTTAGTGTTAATTTGGTTTCATAAGCACATGGGTTCATAAATTAGGAATTAGGGGCAGAATATTCAGAAAGGAGGTGTTATTGAGATATTCAAGGCCAGATACCCGATCAACAAATTACTACTGCGTAGCTACTGGTTAGCTTGCAGGAGAGTTTCATGCAACTGATTAGGAATTTTAATTTCTAGAGAATATGAAGTTACTGTCATCTTTATTCTAAATTATTTCTAAAGCATCTCCTGACTAGTGTGATAACTTGAAAGAGACAGTATTCTCTGGAAGGGGAGTGCACAAAGTTAAGGAAGTACAGGAGAGAGTGTACACTGACTGGTTGAATCCAGTGCGTTACAAACTCTCAAGAACTCAGATGCATTTTGGACAACATCTTTTTGCAAGTAAAATTAATGTGTAGGAATGATATATTGCACCATTGTTGGGATACCTGACAGCAGTTGCATGGTCCTTGGAAATGAATACAGTGAGTACCAGTTCAGACATCTGCCTACCCACTGGACTAAGCTGCAGATGAAATTCTTTTTATGAAGCTCCCTCAAAATGGAAGTTTGCCAGTTTGACCGCTAAAAAACAAAGCACTCTCTTTAAGGCGGGTTCTCTTTCTCATACAGAGTTTAACTTATGCTGTGAAAAAAAGGGATTTGGCCTTCAGACTTGACAAAAGAGCTGATCTAATCCTTCCTTTAGCTGAACAGGCTTGGGGTTTTAAGAAATTTCAGTCTTCTGGTGCTGGGACGTAATGAAGAGCAGGCACTAGTTAATACTAGTTTCTCAAACACTTATTTTGAAAAATAGACTAGCATTTGAAAGCATCTCAAATAATGTGATGATGTTATTGCAGTTCAGCTTACTGGCTTTTCAGTCAAGGAAGTGGATACTCATTTGAGCTACTTAAGGCTACTTGAGACTTTTTAAAATTGCTTATTTATATTTCCCTTCAGAAATAAACTCATCGTTATTTCAATTAGGTGTAAATCTTCTGTAACTTTAGGGATGTTCTCTTGAAATAATCTACATCTTACAGTATGTGCTCAGGAAAGAGTTGTAACTATAATACAGACAGTAAATTGACAGTGCTCATTTACCTAGCTGTTTATTCACCTGATGAGTCACAGCGTCAGTACCTTCATTAGCCACGTGAATTTTAACAATTCAAAAGATTCAGAATGATAGCTTAAAGATAAAGAATAAGCCTAAGCTTCCATTCAAAACACTTGTCTCTGCACATTTTTCTTTGGCTCACTTGACACATGTCTACACTGTGCATGAGGATAGGAAAAGACTGTATTTGGACTTGTTTCAATGAAGGATTAAGCAGTGTGTATAATCACGTTAGTTTTTACTGTCTTTGTTCCATCCCACTTTTCCTCTGCTAAAGGAGTTTTGTTTTGTGTCTTCCTGGCAGCAGTAAATTTGAAAAGCTCCCACTGACAGGCAGAACAATGGCATTTTACATGATACTTCCCACAGGAGGTATTCCCAGGAAATAATTATATGGGAATAGATACCTTTGTGGACTGGAGCCATAAAAGGTAGTGAGAAATTGGGCTAGCCAGTACCTGTCATGCTGACTCGTTCTTCTCATTGTTTCCTTGTACTTTCTCATCTGCTTGTATTTTTTTTTTTCCACAGTACATTCTTGGGAAGGAACTGTCACTCTGTTCTGCACATAACCAGTTTTAACTCATTTTTAAGGTAGACAGGAATATTTCTTCGCCATTTTCTATTAGAACTTGTAGAGCTCAGAAAATGATACTTCATTGGTTTTGCCCATTTCAATAGGAAATAACATACAGTGCATTTTTCAAATCTGCATTTTTGCCACCCTTAATTTCTGGCTAGAATAGGTTGCTGCTCCTACCCTCTGCCCTCAACACAGCTGTAGGCTGTGCTGATACAGTCTCCCAGTAGAGTGTGGCTCTTGCCTACAGCTTGGTCTCATTGGTACTTCTAGCCTACCTTTCCTGAAGAAAACAGCCTGGTAAAGCCAGAGCACTGAAAGGGAGCCAAAACAATTGGTGGCCAGTGAGGGGGCAATTAATTTAATTTCACTTCCATTCACGTGGCACCTGCAAAACAGAAATGCCCCTCAAACTTAAGAGACAGTTATGTCTCTTAAGTATTATGGACAGTTCTGTCCATAATGTAAGAATTAAAACCTAACTCTAAAATAATTGTTGAGAAAGCCAGTGTGCTGATCATGCTGAAAAGCTAACCATGTAAAAATGCACAGTGAAGACACCGAAAGCATCCTAAGCTGGCTTCCATAGTGATACCCTGAAGGGAGAGTTTTCAGTCAGTCCATACATGGGAACCTGAGGAACGCAACAGCGGAGTGGTTTACTCTGAATTGTGTAATGGCATTCCAGACTTTGCATTTCACATCCACACCCTGTCCAAAGGAAGTGGGGGATAACCAAAAGAAAAGCTGACATAGAGGCTCTAGGCTACTCCCCTACAGTTTGCAAAATGATAAAAGGAGGACTTGTGGCATTTCTGCTGTCCCTTTGCTACTGTCCCTTTAGAAACAATATTTCTCTGTAAGGGTACTATGAAACTGAAATGATTCTTCAGGGACAATAGGCAGAGCAGGGACAAGAGAGGAAGCAGTGCAGCTCCGGTCAGTGTATTCCTACCTGCATTTGGAAGGTCTGGAGGTGCAGTGTCTGCTTTATTCTTCTGGACTTTCTTGATTCTTGCTGACTCTTATGCAGGGCACTGCCTTGAATCACAATTCAGCATATATAATTCTCAAACCACCAGGGAACCCTGATATAAATGAACAGAGTTTAAAAACCTGCTGTAATTTTCCTGATGTCAAAGTAATCTTATATCACACCTCACTCCTTGAAAAGTGTTACTTTTATTGAGGAGTCGGTGGTTGAAATGTAATAAATACCAGACCAATCTTATCCATCATATACTTTGTATCATCGCTTTTTGGCCTCAGGAAATATGTGAGCAAGTGAACAAACAGCTTCATTCACAGTTGTGCACACAAATCACCTAGATTGCAGTCCACAGTTTAAATGATGTGATTACACATCACATCTTAAATAATGGGTTATGAAACTTCATCATGGGATTTCAAGTATATTGGCTTAGAAATCTTCCTTAACTTTTCCTGGTGTCGCAACATACGGCCTTGTTTATGGGCAAGACCCATAGGAGGCAGGTGGATCTGGAAGAGAAAATCCAACCAGTTAGGTGCAAATTGAGAAGTTACAAGAAAAATAAAGTATATATACAGACTAGGTTTCATTGAGTTTGAAATAATTTCTTCACACTTTGGAGAGGGCAACTGTACCATCCAGCTTATTAGATTTCTCAGAGGAGCACTCCGGGGTGTGATTAGTGGTGTAACTTTCAGGGCCTAAATGTTGTGTTTATTAAAATCATATATACATTAGGCTTTAATAACCTTGTTTTGGAGCTTGGTATCAGACTGTAATGATATAATGTTTGCTGAAATAGGATTTCTGACAATGTTCCAGAATGGTAAGACCGAGAAAACTCAAAATTCCTGAGTTGCAGTGTGCTCTACTCATTCCTACCTAACAAGTCACAAAACTGTATGTACTGAAAAACTGTCTTCTTATTGTTATGATTATCTATACCACATTAAAACACACAATGTCATTGACTCCACAAGCAGAAGGAGCAATAGGTAACAGGTTCTTCCTTTGATTGACAAAGTCTTTGTATTTCATAGGACTGTTAGTGGGAGTCATGCAACTATATTCTCCCTGCTAAGTGATTGAAAAATGTAGGTGTTAGCAGTCCGATGTTATTGTTGCTGAGGCTGTCATCCTGTAAGAGAGCTGTTTAGGTGCAAGTAGTAGTGAAAGCACTGACTAAAGCAGCAACAGAGATTACTAGAATCTGAAAAATAATGATCATCCAGTTTGTCTGAGACAGCGGATCTTGGACTGATCCTTTGGGATTCTGAAGCCGCTGCAGAGCATAAATTTTAAGCCCATTTCTGGGAGCACTGTTTGCCAGATGTGCATTGTTATTCTCTGTCCTGGAGAAAAAGCTGTATGTGAAGCAGATGCTAACACTGACCATATTCTAGGCAAGCATCTGATGGAGATAGATAAAATTTAATTTTGACTTCCTTGATAAGAAAACTACAGATGTGAAAATACAAACTAATCAACAGGAATTGAGAGAAAGTTTCTGTGGGAGGCAGCATAAAGTACTACAGACAGAAGTGACTCAGCAGTGAGGTAACTATACTGAATGATGCAATAGAAGACACTGCTGCAAATTCCAGCATTTCGGTTATCTTGGACATGTTTTTCTTTAGGAAGAGGGGAAAAGAAGTAACATAGGCAGGTGTTTCATAAGACCTGATTTATTAGAAGAACAGCTACCAGTAATGCAGGCAATGAAAATAATTGTATCTATGGCAGATGTAATTAAATATTTTTATTATCTTGTTTTATTACGTGGAAAGATTAACAGATTTGATTCCATTAATGTCTTCTTCTGGTTGGACAAGACTGCCTAAATATTCAAAGGCATTGGGAGTTTAGCTCATGTAACTCCATTTAGACTTTGACTTCTTAATTTGTGAAAAAATTAGCCAATTTACAGGGAAATAAGATGGATGGAAAACATTTCAATACACATTTGGCTTATTTGGCTCTGATTAAGCATGGCATTTAAATACTGGCTCATCTAAAAATGCACTGTGGAGACAGTGATATGGACTGTGATGTAATTATTACCTAGTGAGAGCCAAGAGGGTGCAGCTGAATATTTTGTGACTTAAGATTTATACTCACAGGCCTTGGGTAGGGGATGTTATAGTGAAGTCCAATTTCAATCCTTGCCTCACATTCTTCTATACACTGCTTAATCAACTTTGGATCTGTTACCTAAGATCATAGAAACAAATGTTTTGTATGAGTACAGCAGTTAGCAATTGAAAGCTCAAGCGTAAATGATGCACAGCCACATGACTTTCTCTAGCTTTTTTTGGCAATCCCAAGAATACAATGATTGTATTTTTCATATCCATAAAAGGTAACATTTGCATTGACTCAACAGTTCTAGGCTTGATGGTGCTGCATATTAAGGCCCGGAGCTATCTTGACTGAGACTACAGAAAGAGGGTTTTACCCAAACATGGTATTTTCATTGTAAAAAAGACAATACACATGTAAACTACTAATATAGCTATGAAAAAAACACACTCACCCATTCGTCACTCAGCAAGATAGCTAGAGAAGAAAGAGACTTGACTCCTTGGTTTACATTCTGTTATCCTATCCTGAAACTCCCTCTGAAGTCAGAAATGTGGTGTAAATTGTGACTTAAATTAATTTTTTTTGATTTTGCATTACTCCAATTTAGTCCCAGTCCAAAATGGGATATAAGTAAGCATTGCGATCTAGGTTACGAAAAGGACCTTCGATTACCATGCAGTCTGTATCGTCCCTTTCAAAAGGGGTTTGAAATTTCTTCCTTAAGAAAAAAAAGTGCTTCTTTTAAAAGAATTTCCAATAATTGCTGCTTTGAGAAAAGAAGTATAAGAAGCTACTGAGCTCTGTTTGCCACTGCAGGGGTAATGATACATTTATCTAACTTTCTAAAAGATCAAAAGCTGCTTCAATTACATAAGCAGTGTCTTTGGAATTTAATTTTTTATTGGTATTTTTTAGTGAAAGCTCTAAACCTTGTAGACTTCCACAGTAGTTAATGAACAGCTGAAATGGTTTGAGTTTTCTTATTACTATTTCATTGGTGGGATTTAAACTATAACCAAAATACACCAGCATTTAAGGTGAGTGAAGTGTTGGGAAATCAGCTCTTACATTCATATGTTAGCACCTAATCACTGTGACGATGCAAAAAGCAAGAGGACAACCATTCAGAAAATCAAAACTGTAAGGACACTCACATTTTTGTTTTTTCGGAATAATGTCTGGGCTTCATTGATAATGTACTCTTTCTCTTTAACAGTTTCTTCTATCTGTCCTGATGCTGATTGCCATTTTTTGGCTATTCGGAATATCTTGCGGTAAAGGCCAAGAACTTCTTGTCGAGTAACTGGGGTCATCTAAAAAAGTAACACAAAACCTCAGACATATGCATGAACATTTGAATTGCTAAAAGGCCAGCAAGCAGTATGCTTTCTCATACAATTGAATTAAAGATATTTCCATCATCTAAAGATATGCTGAGCTATACAAAAGCCCCAAAATAGTAGTAAACAGTAATTAGCTGGTGAAAGCTGAAGACTCAGTCCAGCAAAGTATTTAAACTGACACTCAAACCTGTCTCCATTCAAACAGCTCCAGTTCTTGCTCAAAGTTAAGCACCTGCTTTAGTGCTTTGCTGAATCACAAGCCTGGTACAAGAATGCCCAGGTTTTGCTTCACTGCTATTTTGCAACAGACATTGGGCGAGTCACTGAAACTCTGAGCATCCCTCTTCCTGTGAAACTGTTGTACCAGTGCTGCCCCTATCTTTGCAAAGCATCTTGGATCTGTGAATAAAATACATGATAAAACAACCACACAATTGCTGAAAACCTGTATAGGTTTTAGAGGCCAAGAAGCTTATGTGTGAGACCACTACAGTACATGGTAATGATTCAGCTGGAGTTTGATGTGATGAAAAAGTGATGGAAGTTATTTTATCTAAGCACTGCAGGACAGGCAGACGAACTGTGGATTTAGGAAAGTTCTGAATGTCTTTATTTTCAGAGCGCTGCATACCTGCTCAGCCCACTGAATCAGCCTCCAGGTGTGGTAGGAATCTTTGTCAGAAATCAAGAATGAAATCCTATTCTATTCTTATTGTATTTAAATGAGCATTTTATCATCACTGACACTATTTCATGTCAGACAACAATTATTCCTGAAAAAAAATCCACTGCAGAAACAATGACTAGTTCTTTAGGGACACCACAGCTATTAAGGTCCAAAAGGCAGACGCAGTATATAGATGCAACGACGAACACGTATCAGGGACAGGACAGTACCTGACTGAGTCAGGATCCATTTGCAAACCTGAAGCTGTAGTTACCGTGGCTGAATCAACCCTGAAATCAGACCTGTGCGCTGGGAATAGCTCCTCCTCCGACAGTGTGGAGCAGGGTAATCCAGACGGCCTGAAGAGCCCTCTGGAGGGAGCACTCTCTCTTCCCTTGGTCATAGAGGAAAAGCCACTTCCCAATGCACGCACCGAAAATCTAGGAGTGTGGCCGTCGTCACTGATCTAACTGTGGTGTGGGTTTTGACCCAGTCTCCTCAAGCCGTATTAGTTCTCAAGTAGCAGCCTCCACCACAGCAGCTAAGTTCTACTAGTATTTCTGTCCTCCTGTGGCTTCAGCCACACACACCGTCTTTTCCTCACCAGTCGAAGTTACAGATGCTAACTGAAGACATGACTTGAGCCATAGTTCATTTTACCAAAAAAGCCCCCAATGTATTAAATCCAAGCATATTTTGTCTTAACTGTTGCTGTGATCTAAGGACTTTTTGTTGCTTCATGAACTCTGTTAAGGATCTTAAAAAGTACAGACATAAAACTGTTTTTCTCTTGATTCTTGAGAGACCATTTTTATTTTTGTATTTTTAAAACATTTAAGCAATTTATCTTTTCCCCTCAGATATAAAAATGATCCTTCCTACCCAGTATTTCTAGTAAATGTTTATGGTATTTCTAGGAAACAAATATGCACAATATAATAGCCCGATAGTCCCAGCTTGTCAAGCACTTTGGTGTAAATGCTTCACTTTATCCACTTGCAGCTCCATTTCAGGCAATAGCATTAGTCATACACAAAGCTACGTGTGTATGTGTATCTGAAAAACCACTGCTTCCCTCTGCCAAGTGCATATTTTGTACAGAAAATAAACAGTTCAATTACAAGAGCTGTTCTAGCACAAGCCAAGTCCCACATCGTGTCCTTAACCTACAGCTCCTCCTGGCCTCACCCCTCTGCTTTTAGTTGGAGGTGTCACTTTCTGGTAGACTCTTTGTTTCCTGCTGACAGCTAATAAAAGGTAGTACTGCACTGGAAACTTTCAGCTCAGGTTTTCATGTAATACATAAAGAAAAATAAGAGGAATAATGTCAGGAGAAAAAAAGTTTAAAATAGAGGTTTAAATTTTGACCTACACATCAGACAGTTTCCAAGGCCACAACTTGCACAGTGCATGTCCTTTGCTCAGAGCTGTAATCATACCTGTCACTTTTAGTTTTTAACCATACCAAGAACCTGTTTATAAAGTTATTGTTTAAAGTTTTAGAATCAGTGGAGTTTTTTTCCCCACTAGTTGCTTCTGCTCCCCCACCCAGAACTTACTTTTTAATTTCTCAGTGTTGGAACTGATAGAGAACTGTGTAGCCCCTCACCTAGGCATGGGCTGCATTTCTGCATTATTGCTCTCCTTCCCACTTATGCTAGATGATGCAAAAGACATTAAGCAGCTTTTCATATATATGGCTCATTTAGTCAACAATTTCTAATATTACAGACCTGCTCTTAGACCATTTCTGCAAAGATACATAAATGAATGTGTGAGGAACTTTTCACGGCCAGAGGACCCCTGTCTATCACAGATGGGAGCAGATAGGACAAAACTCAAAGCCCAGCTCAGATTCTGAGTGGGAGTCTAAATACGGGATAATTCTGCCAAGAGCAAAATTACTTCCAAGTTAAAATGCTGTAAATGAGATTGCAGGTTTTTTCTTTGGTATAAACAGAGCCCACACTGACAGAAATGTAAGTGACAGTACAAGTAATGTATCAGGTGTAATTTCATGAAGTGACACTACTTGTATTAGTTTTGTGGGTGTGTAAAAATGATTCTGAGTGGGACAGAAAGGAAGATAAGGGAGGCTTTCATGTCCTTGTAGTTACTCATCTTGCAACTTACATCTTTGGCATTTAAATCATAATTATATTTCACATCTCTGGAATGTTAAGTGGATGTTACACCACTTTCCCACTAACACTCATCTTGTGGTAGTCACACCCATTGTTTAACTTCTACCACCCTTCATTTTATTGCAGAATGCAGCCCACAGAGGTTAACCACAGGCATTTTTGTCAAAAAGTACAGGGCTGTTGTATTAACTGAGCAAATTTCAGGTGTTCACTGCAGCAAAACAAGCTGTGAGAGGTCAAAGGTAGGTCTGTAGGCACAAATATATCAATGGGAAAAGTGGTAGGTCGCTTTTGAGCTGAGTGTTAGAATTCAGCCTTTGGAGGGAAGCCAAGTGTTGCCTTCCACACAGCATTTGCTGGATGCCGTGGCAGTTCTGATAATGCAGGGTTGTATCATTCTTTTGATCTACATGCAAACCCCTGTTATCAACATGCAGATCAAACACATGAAATATGCCATTATTTCCAAACTTGCAAAGGAGGCTTGAGCAGTTAATGAGTTACTGCATGGTGAGGATGCAAACTTTTTTCAGTGTTAATTAAAACAAACAGTCCTTTAGACTATGAAATGTAATAACAAGTTTTTCTTTGGGGAAACAAATACACATTCCTTTGGATTTGTAGACGACCGACCCAGAAGTTCACTAATCTAAATAATCAGTCCAACACCAGTTGTCTTCTGCTACTTGCAGATTTGTTTAGAACTTAAAGTTTATATAAAAATAAGAAGAGGAATCTGTCAACTGCACTGTAAAGTGACCCCAACAGTGAACTGTCAAAGCAAAGAAGGCAAGCTGCATGAACACTGACTATCTAAGAGCAGCTAAATTACAGCTACTTCCCAGGGAGGGATGCTTGGCTAAGAAAGCATGTCCAGCACTCTCCTCCTTTCTCCTTTGATGAAGCTGTAAGTCTATTTTATTTCATCCTTTCTTTTCAAGTCAAGTATTAGCTACTCACTTGAAATATAAAATCTGTCAGCAATGAGTACATTGAGGATTTTAGGAAACAAAGGGTGCAAGTAATAGCTCATGGGTAAAAAATTACATTTTAAAACAATAGATCTCTTCTTTTACATCCCAGCTAACTAGGGCATGCATTAATGCTGATGCTGATACCATATTTGCTCAGGGGAGGAGATGGTGGAGAACAGAACTCTGTGTGAAATAATTCAAAAAAGCGCCTTTGAACTTCTCAGATGTAAAATGTTTTATTTAGAAACAACACAAAATCTATTTGACAGCTGGCTTGCTACCGGCAAATAGTCCTAAAGACACAGTGACAAACTGCTGGGCTGACTGCCATCAAGATATGATCACATTTCTGTTACAGAAATAAGTGACATAATTCAAAAGCATAGCATATCAACATTATAGCATGGATCAACAGCAGCTATGGCCTGCATGATAATCCATATCTCATAGTTTCACATGCACTTTTTGGCTAACTAAAGAGATGTGAAGACCTGTAGGTATCTTGCCTTTGTTTTAAGAGCTAAATTATACCATTTAGCAAAAGAATGACCTGCAGTCTCTCTCCTGCTGCTATTGCAGCAGATAATCAATCATTCCTTTCACAGCTATCTACAGCAACTGGAGGTCAGTAATCCATATTCATCTTTCATGCCAGTCTGCCAAAATGAGTCTGCGGTTCTTAAGGCAGCAATGAATTTGTTCTATCATTCCCCTGAGGGACAACAACTGAAACAATGAGTTCCTGTGGCATAGGGAGAAGAGAAGGGGTCACAGATTCCTGTGATAGCTGGGTAAGTCACATGCCTTCCAGTGATACTAACTTCCAAAATCCAGTTTCTACAAAAATAATTTTATCCTCTTTTACTCAAATCAGTGAGTTAGTGGCCTGTGACAGCTAGTGCCCTGCAAATATCAACCACACGTGGCTGCAGTATGTAGCAAAGTGAAAGCTCATCTGGTTTTTATTCTTGATTGAACAATCTTTTTTTAGTATTTAGTCAAAACCAAATCATAGCGAAACTTCAATCACAGCTAAAATATTCCATCTTCACATGGTGAAAAACAAACTAAAATGAAAGCTCTTATTCTTCCATGATGGTGTTACATCCTCATTTCTACCAGTGATGCAAGTAAATTTCAAGTAGTTTCCATCAAGGATTAATTTGATTCCAACTATTTCTCACTGTTTCAATCTACAAGCTCTAGTCAGAAATCTATACAGATTTGGTGAAAAAGAATGAAGTTACCGAATCAAGTTAGTCAGTTACAATACCTGAAAGCAAAGTGACTTTCACATGGGTTGAGATTTTGTCATACGAGTATCTTTGTGCTGGCAAACTGAAGTGATCTGAAACCCTGATGTGAAACACTGACTGACACATCTGAACCAGACTCTCTAAGTCATTGTACTTACACTGTTCATCAGCTGGGATGAGGCTCTGCCGTTCTATTCATGCCTCGGATTTCTGACTGAACTGGGATCTCTTCTAAGCTTTTTCTTACATATGGAGCAATCTTTTGATCAGAAAAAGGGAACTGCATACAAAGAGAATACAATTAAATAGTAAAACCAAGGACTTGTGTTTTATCTCTGGGTTTCCTATGTTACTGCAAATAAGTGAAATTGCAGGAAATTAGGATTCTACAACATTTTCTCCATTTATATAAATGAAAGAGAACCCTTAACTAGTCCCTTTTGATCACAAAGTTTTCATTTTGTCAGTCTGAGTTGGTCGTGGCATTATCTGCCTTTAGTAGGACATAGGGACTCCAGCTCTGTGAGTGCCTCCTGTGCTGGAGTAGCTTCAGGAAGAACAAAAATGCTGACTTGGACTGTGGAGATGGGGAGGAGAATAAAAAAAAAAATAGCACTTTACATATTTCTTAGCTTTCTCCTAAAAATCACGCAGTCTCCAGGTAAACTAAAGCAACATGAACTTCTCTCTAGTCTTGTGCAGCCCTTTTGCTTATGCTTTCATACAGTTACAACCATTTTCTCCTTTGTGTTTAGTTCTCTGTTAGTTACAAGCAGAGAAAGAGGTTTTAATGGGGTGCAACATATTTAGCAGAGAAAATGAAGTCTCAGCTATCCTTGGATGGCCTTACTTATATAATACAGAAGCATACAGAAAGATAACAGTGTAGACACAAATCCCAGTATGGATTTATGCACCTTATTCATATATTGGCCTCGAGCCAAATGCAACTGAATGCATGAATAGAAATATTTCCCAGCATTGGAAATGCTCCCAAACTCAAGAACAGGTATAAATATTAATGCTATCCGAGAAACAATCCTCCCTACCCCATTTCTTACTTCATTCTGTGGGTCATTTGATGAAATTCAGCTTACGAACCCTCTCCTTCCGTTTGCAAGCACTTTGGTCTCAGGACATCGATATATATGATTTTCAGTCACTATTTGAGCACTGTAGCAGGCCATATATGTATACATAAAATACTTGTGTTTTGGTACTCAAGTGTGAGAATCCCATTCAAATCTGGGAGTTTTGCCAAGAAAACCTCACAGAGTACTTGCACTAGACTCTCCTGTATGGTCAATTGATCAGCCTTTGGTGCTCCTGCCTCCTAGCTGGCACAAGCGCAGAGGAGCACTGGGTGAGGGGAAGTGCTGCTTTATCTGTCTCAGAGTCTTCTCCCGGGTTCTGTGGAGAGGGAACCCTTGGGCCTGATGGTGACAGGACACCTCCAACAGGATCTGCAGGTGCAGATGAGAAGCTCGGGACTCATTTTACAAGCACCTGGGACCTGGGCCATGCCACAGTCACCTCTGCAGTTACTGCTGCACCCAGCCAGGCACAGGCTGTGGGGGTCAGGCCTACCCCGAGAAAGGCCCCGTTCACACAGCGTAGAGGTGCAAGTGCACTGTGGCCGAGAGCAGTGTGACTGTGGGACTTGGCCGTCCTCCGCCTCCTGTGCACCACGTAGGCTGCTGCCAGCACCACGATAACCGTCCCCCGCCGTTACCCACAGTGGCCCGGCCGCCGGGGGGCACTGCAGGAGCTGGCGCCCTCCTGCCCCCTGGCTGCCGGGGCGGCATTGCCCCTGCAGCCGGGCGGAACCAACGCGTGAAGAGAAGGGGGTTGCCCAACCCCAAAAGCCTCCAGCCAGTCCTCTCCCGTCCGCCTTCCCGGCGTGTCGGCTTGCCCGCCCTCCGCCTTCTCCCTTTACCTTAGGGAGGAAGCGTACCGAGGTCCCGCTCCCCACCTTCGTGAGGCAGTTCCGCCGCAGTAGGCCCCGTCCCCCCGCTCCGGTGGGCGAGGGACACGGCGAGCAGTCGCCCAACCTGCCCTCACCGTGCGTGCGGCGTCGGGCACGCCGCCTTGCGTCACGGCGCCGCCGCCAGCTGACTGCTCACCCCCGGAAGTGATGCGGGGAGGGGTGGCAGTCTCGCAGGGAGCCGCGGAGGTGAGTGAATTGGACCGTGTCTCTTCCCGTCCGCGCCGGGCAGCGGGCGGGGGGTATGGCGGCGGTGCTGGGCTCCTCTTGGGGTTCCGCTCGGCGCGGGCTGCGGGGCTCGGCCGGCAGCCTCGGCGGTGGCGGGGGCCTCCGCTCTGCCCCCCAGCCCCGCCAGGGCCGGTTGGGTGTGGGGGGCCCCGCGTCGCCGCCCCCTCACGGCAGAGCCCGTCGCAGACCGCCCGGTCACGGGGCTGGGAGCCGCTGCAGTGGCCCTCGGGTGCTGGCTTGCCCGGCCGGGAGTCGGCGCCTCCCGCGGGGCCGCCCCGTCCGGGCGCCTCTCCGGCGGGTGGTCGCTCGGTCTGGTTCCGTTGCAGGCCAATACGGCTGCTCAGCAGGCGGGTGCACCCCTGGACGCCCCCCCGCCACCAATTCGTGCTCCTCAAGTAATGGTGCCGGCTCACCTCAGGGTCCTCTCCCTATTTTTCCATGTCGGTGTGTGCCTTCTTTAGGGTTCCAGGACGTTTCTTGATAAGCCGACTCTTTGCGAGCATCCCTCCGGGGTCCGCTGGGATCAGCTGCTTTGTTCAACCCCACTCCGTGTCCAGCTTTATGCGTGCAGCACTGCGTTAGTCATTGTGTTCGCGGGGAAAAGGCAGAGGGGAAACGTAGATCAGTTTATTTCCAACATAGTTTCCATAATCTGAATATGCCACCCTTGCACAGCCACTTTTCCTGTAACTTTAGCTTTCATCCCCTCTCCCGATGATGTGTATACCCTTCCTGTGAAACCTGCAGTCTGTGCTAATCACTCTCACTGTCTGGGGCTATGGTGGTACAAACAAGCTGCTCATAGCAGCATAAATTGTAACTTGCATAATCAGTGTTTCAAGCAGATACTGGTTGAAGCAATATGCTTTTCCTCTTAGCATTCTGGTTGCTGGAAAGAATCATTGATTATCTTTTAAATAGTTAACACTGCTGATATGCTGTCCTTCAAAATGTTACATTGATAACTGAACAGCCTGATGCCAGCTATCGGAATACAGCATTGATCCACAGCTGGGAACTTTTTTAACATGGGACTGTCTGCCGCATAATTTAAAGAGGTAATAGGTTAAGTGCTCTGAAAAAGGGGGTAGAATTGTGCAGAGAAAGCACAGAACTACCTTACCTTCCAGTAAATTACAGATGGTCCTCACTGGCAGTTACACTGCATGGTCTGTGTTTTCTGGGAGAACAACTGGTTGAATACATATCTTCTAAACACATTATGTGTTTAAGAGCCTCTTTGTTAAACGGTTAATTTGTAACTATGGTGTTAGTGTTTTATTTGGGCTAGCAATGGGAAAAGAGTGAGTACTGGTGTTTCTCAAGTGCATCTGAGCACTGCTATTTGTTTCCCCAGTAGAAGATAATCCTCAGGAAAGGAAACAGTTCCTTGGTTCAAATCACATGTGCAAGTAGAGAGATCTGACTTCATGTTCTTGTCAGCTCTGAGGCTTGTATTTAAAATCTTCCCCATGCACGGGTGTGTGTGTGATGTGTGGGAAACCTTCATAGCACTTTACATGAAAGGCAGCACGCAGTCTAAAGCAAAGGTTTTCTGCACATCAGCAGAAAGATGAGAGCTTGTGATCTGTGTTGAATTGGTTCAGATTTGCAAAGTGTAAGTGCCTTTACAAAGCTACTGCAAATATCAGCTCTTGTAATGGTTTCTCAAATTCAGATTATTCTCTAATAGTAAGTTATATGCAGGTGTGAATGATGATAATCCTTAAACAAATTCACAGAACTTAATGGGGGGGCTTGCAGCTTTGATGCTCTCTGGCTGCTCAATGTGAAATTGCTTTCACCTGGAGACTGATAGCCTGCAACATGATCTGTAATCAGCCCCTGGATCTTAAAGGCTGGGTTAGGTTCATTCTTTGCACGGTTTCTTGCTTTATTTTGTAGTAGAACATTTTCTGTTTGTAACAAATTCCAACTGATTTGTGTTAGTAGTTCTTACAGTTTGTTGATCTTGGAAATTCACAATTGCATCTTCTATTTAGTGTGATTGTATTAAAGTGATCAGATGAACTGAAGAGGTGGATTTGAGAGAAAACTAAGAACAGCTCTTTTGGAAGACTGTCATTGAAATTAGTTATAGTATATATTTGAGCAAGAGGGGCTGCCAGTTTGACAGACTGAGACAAAGGGACTTATTCTGAAAAATTTGTGTGGTTGAGGAAGAGGATTGGTTCTGCTGCTTTCATTGGTTCAGCTTAAGGAACAGGAAAAAATCCTGTATGGTGTGTGTGTTGGAAAGAATAGGGGCAGGGGAATATAAAGTAGACGGAGCAGTGGGATATAGAAATTACTCTTCTAAATTTTCATTTCCTCATGGAAGAAAACCATGTAAAGGTGGTTTGGGTATTAAGAGATGCACAGCTGCAAGTCACCAGGAGTGAGTCTCCTGGTACTGCTCAGAACTGGCCCACACTGTAGCACTTGGTGCTGGGGAAACATTGATAAATTTAGAGTCTTGAAGCACTATAAAATCCACTGTGATGGGTTTTGGCAGTTTGTAAGAACTTGCAAAGTACAGAAACAGTGTTATTGTTCCATTAGGCACATGGTTTGTAGTGGTGAATGTTAACAGGAAAACTGTTCTGAGTAAGAGGAGACTGTAAAAATAAAGGCATAGGATGTTAGAAAAACAGTAATTTCTTTCATCCTCATTCTTAAAAGTAAAGAAGGGAGCTAAAAATTGGTAGCCAGAATTCTCAGAGACTGAAAGAACAATCTGTAAACACTTAAGGGACTTGGCAGACACAGGAAGATAAGAGGGAACCCCCTTAACAGCCTTCATCAGAATTCCCTGATGGGGCTCCTTCTCTCTGGCTGCTTCTCCCTAGGGGTCTGCATCTTATCTCACTGGCTTCCTTTCGTCTGTTTGCCTCTGACTAAGAGGCTTTGTCTTCTGGTTACTGGAAGTCTAATAATTTCTTTTGTCTCTTTCCTTCTTCCTTTTAAAAATACTATATTAAATGACTGTAATGTTTTGCAGATTATCTACATTGGTGAGATGGATTAATTGTATACTTGACTCATAAGTTATTTAGCAATAATGACATAGTAACTTGACTTGAAACAATGGTAATTTCATGGCAAATGCTCAAGGCGAATGTTGCCTTCTGGTGAAGAGCCACCTGCAATTTACCCCCTGTAAACATATGACACAAGTAAACTGTCTGTGCTAGTTTTTTCTGTGTCTTCTGTACAGTAAGTTGTCTAAAGTGAGTCTTTCAAAACAGTCATCTACCTCTTCCCTTAGCCTCCCCCCCTTGACTCTAGTTTGAGTCAGGTAATTACAGATCTGGGTTGAAGCCGTTCCAGGGAGTGATCAGAAAAGCCAAGACTTGCAGACTTGCTCCCGTCGTTCACTTATACCTTCACTTGTACCTTCACCTCACCCTTTCATGGCAAGGCTTTGTGGAACTCCTCAGCTATTGGTAACTGGCTGTTGGTGAGGAGGTCTGAGAGCCCCAGGGGCAATGGTGGTTGATATCTGAAGGGGACCTCTGCTTTCCCTTGCACAAATGCCGCTGTTCTTTGTGGTGCTATAAGAACGTTCTTGTTACATGTGGCTTTGGTGTGACAGTTTGGTGACTTTTACATTTTGATTTTAGTGCTAATCAAAACAGAGCAAACGGGAAGAGCTGAATCAAAGCTTCTTGTCTAAAAGAAAATGTAAGAGCTAACCAGTTTAGGCTCATTATGTCTTCATTTTATCCATGTGTGTTGAGAGGCAGCTTTCTAGTCCAGTGGTGGGCATCTTGAAAGAAGCAGAAAATCTGGATTTCAGGTAAAGGTTATTTAATTGCAGTGTTTTGCTACTAAAAGAGTGATAGTTAGGGGACTGTTGAGAGGTAAGTATTAAAGAACTCTCACAGAAGTAGAAATACTGTAGAGAAACTGACAAAAGCATAGGTGGTGAGCCAGGATTCTGGTAAAGAGAATGAACTAATATAATCTTCTGGTGTCTCAGAAAGAATAGTTATAAATGCTGTTCTGTCTGTGACATCTGTTTTGTGAAAGACAAAACTTACTTAGCAAAATGTGAGAATGCTGTTACTGACCTCTTGTCACAGTTTGTTAGTCCCAGAAAGTCAGACTGCCAAAGACAGTATGACAGTCAGTTAGTTGTTGTCTCACTTTTCCTGTTTAGTGAACATGTGTTTTTTTTTAAACCAAAGGGATTATGTGTTCCTGAAAAACGCCAGTCTTGTTTTTGCATCCACGTAGTAGCAGAAAGTGACAGGTTTTAGTTCTTACTCTGAAATGTTTTAGTGTGATACAACTTCCTTCTGCAGCTTTGAAACATCTAATGCAGTCAGTTTTGCCCTTTTGTTTAAACATTGAAAGGGAGGGAGAAAAATCACCTTAATGCCAATGATTATGGGAGGCGTGTGTAGCTTAGTAATGGACTCACACAAATGTCCTAGAACTTGGTTTTAGACATGCTGACTGTTCAGTGTTTTCGTTGCAGATGAGTCTGTACTGTAAGCCTTGGGTAGTCTGGATCAGCACATAAGTGGGCGGTCTGGAAGTGCCAAAGGTCTGATGTATACCAGCTTCAAGCACAGTTACCTGTGAGTGGAGTTAGTGATTATGTCTTGTGAAGCACAGGATACATGCCTACACACCGTATGTCTCTTGAGACACAGGACATAAAATGAAATCTGGGAAATGTGAAAACTTGTGAAGAAAATGTGTGTGTTGGTTGAAGCTGCCACCAGATTTCTCAAGGAGAGCTGAGAGTCTATGTTATAACTGATGGCCTAAGTTCGAGTACTCGGAGGAGCTCCTTTGAAGCAGTTGATACGGTTAACATCTA